TACTTAGATATTTTATGGAATAGCAGCTATTTCGCACAAGCTAAAATTCAAATCCAGAAACCGTAAAGGCCTCGGCAGCTATCGCCTCAAGTCTAATCCTGTTGGGCGTGCTGAACTCGCTCGCTCATAATCTGCTGAATAAAGAATCATTGTTTCGAGCCATATAGTAAGTCAGTACTATCGTGAACCAAAGGCTGATTATAATAATCACATAGCTGCGTGAGTTCCTCTGAATTACGCGGACGCAGAAAAGATTTAATCCAGGAAAAGCTGATAACTTGACTATGAAACATTGTGTGGTTTTAGTTGACTTCCCTCATTCGCTAAACATTTTGAAAGTACTATATTTGAGTTCATCAAATGGAAAACTCCATGACGGTGCGGCGCGTCCTGTCGTCAGGGGTAGAAGTGTCTGGGTGCCACGATGGCACTCAGCAAACACCAAAGTAGACTTGATGCAACGAGGTGGTAATACTCAATACACCAGAGGAATCTCGTAATAACCCCATCCACATCGTTAAGTCCGGAGAATTGTTGTACTGTTTATCCCTTGCGGAGACGAAACGTACGTCAGGATTGCTAGCAGACTGATCATCAGACGATATAACATTAATCAAAGCGGCTGAAAAAGTTAAAGGATAAAGCGCAAAGGATAAAGCGAGGAGTGAAAATGACATTGGCCATACTGATAACATATTTAACTGTGCTTCGACATACGTAAATATTAGTACAAATAATAGTACCGATAGTAAACGAGGCAATAATAATAGTAATAATAATGATGATAATAACAGTAGTAATAAATAATAACAATAATAATGACAAAGATGTACAAAATTTCAGTCATCTCTGTTAAATCTCTTAAAATCGAGCACCCCGAACGGCCGAATTCACACGTGTTTTTTGGCACAGTCTTGCACCGGACGCATCCAGACCGCACATCCAAACGTGCAAAATATCCAGAAAGATGTGGTGATTGATGGATTTTCGATGCGCTCTTTGTTCACTGCTCCTGACGGTAATTTTTCTTTTGTTATTAATTTTAAGCGTTTCTCCTCCCTACCGGTGCAGGCAGGGCTGTTTTTCGAACTTTTCTCACCCACTTAATCTCACAGAGGCGGTTTGAATAGATCCACTGCACTGACAGCTCTTTCTGCATTCTAACACAGCGTGGGTGCCAATTTTGCAAACCGTTTTGTCCATCTGTTGTCTCTCGTTCTTGTTAATACTTCTTCGTGACATACTGCTCCGATAATATTTTATATCTGTTCGTATCTGTTCATTCATTAGAACTACAGAAATGCAGTTTAGTAAGCATTTGCTTATTTAACAAGATGCTTCTTGGTAACTGAGAGGATTTAAGCGCATTTGCTCGGTCATAAATACATGTTTCAATATATAACTGGTTCGAAATATTCCAAACGTAAATTTGGAAAATGAGCTGTTACATTTATGAATCTTTTAAAAAAAAAATAAGATACTTTTTGTCATCTTATTACCATTCCCGTCCATTTCAATAGCTAATTCTTCCATTTTAAGGTCAGGAAAAAGGAGGAGGGAGAGGAAAAGCTCCGACCGTCCGAATAAGGCAAGATGGAAGGAAAGAGGAGCAATAATTTCAGTTAATTGGTCTTCTTTTTTAGATAGAATTTTGCTATCAGCGGATTACCGACAGCTGGAAATGCGAGTGCTGGCACATTTGTCCG